GTAAACAAAATTTCGAAACAGATAAACCTAAATACAATATCGTGGAAAAGATGCACTTGGAATGTTGAAACGTTTAAAAAGCGAAAATTCTTAAAGTGCCGCCTATTGGTGCACTTACCCTATATATGGAAAATATTTATAATTTTTGTTTTTTCAATTATGGGTGAAAATACCTCAGCAATGATTTCTCAAAATTTGATCCAAATATGTCCACTATTGAACATTTTACAGCATTTTTATTCGAAAAAAGGTACAAATGTACCCGGTTATTGACTTCGAAAGGCTTCGAAGTAGAAAACCAGTAGAAGTATGTGAGAAAATATCAATTTATAATGGCATGGATAATATCAAATCAATTCTTTGAGTAGAAGAAAATCGATTTTATAGAAAAAAATATCAGTCGAAACAAAATGGTCAGCATAGGTTGACCAGTATAAGTCTATAGCACACAGCTAGGATGTTGCTGATCAACTCAATTTTTTTACTACTGTGCGTGCTAATAACGTGACCACCACTGCATATCCAATTTCGGCGCCTGACTGAATTGCGTGACCACATTTTCCGCATGTGTGTAAAAAGAAACATTATAAATCGATAAGGGAATATCATTCGAAGGTTGGAATCCCATATGTTGGGAAGCTTGGGATCTGAGTGTCCTAAAAACGTAGCATTATATCCTGCCCATCAATTCCACGCATATCATTGCAATGCTTCAATTCACACAATATGCAATTGGTGTTTTTAAGAAATATTTAGAACTCGTACTGGGATTTCCATAAAATTATTCATACTTATACTGATTGCATCAACGTTTGTTAAACTACTTGTTGCTTCTCACTAAATCTGAAGCAGGTACGCTTCTGATACTTCATAGAATTACTTACCGATTGTTGGGGACGCCTACCGCGTGCAACTCCATCTCCACCATGTTGAACTTGGCTAGAACTCGCTCGTCCACGGGACCGACCTACACTTCCCGAAGGCTTATCCATCTTTTTCTCGAAGTAATGTAATTTTCTTACAGAATCTTAAAGGCGAATGTGCAAGAACTGTATTTTTTCCATAAAGAGAAGCTGACTGACGCCTGGTTGGTGTCAAATTACCGTTATGTCGCACTATAATATAGAATAGCTATCCACCAGCCAGCAAATACTAGAATGATTTTTTGAACAGACGCGCTTTCTAGGGTTACCCGAGTTCAAATAAATCAGGTTGTTGCCAAGTTTTTCTTTTACTGATATATTCAATATTTAATTTTACAATAAATCTTGTTCATTCTGTTTATATGTTGAGTTCTTAATTAAACATATTTTTATATTTTTGGAATAATGTATTTATGAACGTAAAACATATGATTACAATACACTCAAAGAAAAGAGTGTATAATTCAATATTACATGCAATGTTTACATATCCGACATATCTTGTATTCCACAGCTACAGCAACATTTAAATGTTGCATCTAACGTGTTTTATGAAAATCGTTATATAAATTTACATAGAAAAAGGGCGTTTACATTGTACCGGATTTGGTTAGCCCAGTGGGTTTAAATTGTCAGTTCCATTGTAGGTATGTCAAATAAATCCTCATAAAGTAGGTTAACCCCGTAAAAATTCCTAATGTAAATGCCGTTAAAGGCTATGAGCGCACTTAAGGGCTATACAGAATGCTCGCGTTGACCCATCCGTCGCGTTATATGTTATCGAAAATACAACAACCACAAGGAAACGATAACACAAAAGCATATCGTTTCCTTGTGGTTGTTGTATTTTCGATAACATATAACGCGACGGATGGCTCATCGCGAGCATTCTGCTTAGCCCTTTACATACAATAGAAAACATGGTTGTGTAACTAGGTTGGCGTTTTAGTGCGTCATTTATTTATGTTTAGTAAATGACGCAAAATTGTGCTAAATCCGGATTTTTCTATTGTATAAAAATCCGTTTTAAGCCTTATAGCCTTACATTGTACCGGATTTCATTAACCCGGTGGGTTTAAATTGTCAACTCCATTGTATATATGTCAAATAAATCCTCATAGAGTAGGTTAACCCAGTAAAAAGTTCTAATGTAAATCCCGTATTAAACATTTTAAAAAGAAATCATAACAAAAGTATATATATGTATATATAAATGTAACTCATGTTTTAAATTGCACGTTTAAATGTGTATAATTTATTTAATGACAATTGAAACCCACTGGGTTAACGATATCCGGTTAAATGTAAACGTACTGTTATTGTACAAAGTAAAATGACCAAAAACACATATTATTCAACGAAAATAATTGATTTATTCTTTATGGTTTCGCCTAATTTTGTAATCTTAAATTTATTGGTGTTGCATAACTATAGACGCACTTTTACAAAATTAGATAAAACTATGTTTGAAAACTTAAATAAAATAACTTTAATAAATAAGTGAGGCCCTAAGGGCTAAGCAGAATGCTCGCGTTCAGCCATCCGTCGCGTTATATGTTATCGAAAATACAACAACCACAAGAGAACGATATGTGTTTGTGTTATCGTTTCCTTGTGGTTGTTGTACTTTCGATAATATATAACGTGACGGATGGCTCAACGTGAGCATTCTGCTTAGCCCTTTATACTGTCTATCAATTTGTTTCGCAAATCTTCATCGATTGACCGCCATTTATCGATAATTACTTCTTTGAAGTTAAAAACTGTTTGGTATTGGAGGTTTTCCGCATAGACACGACGAGTCCAGATTCCCCCCTATGTTCTCGATTGCATTCTAGTCGGAAGAACATGCGGACCAGTTCATACTTTGAATATTTTTTGATTTTAACCATTCTAAATTATGGCTACTTTTATGAACTGACGCATGTCCATTAAGGAACCGACACCGAAATTTCATTTTGAGAAATTTTCATTTGGAAAAAATGAAAATTTCATTTTGAGTGGTTCCTTCGGCATGAGGTTAACCTACTTCATGAGGATTTATTTGACATATATACAATGGAATTGACATTTTAGACCCGAAATCCGGTACAATGTAAACGTACTATTACAAAAAGAATACATTGTCAACAAAATTTTGGAAAACTTTATATCGTTTTATTCACGGCCTATAAATAAGGTCACCAAGGGAGACCAGCTGATTATCTATACCTCTCAAGTTTGCTGTCAAAATGCATTATTGTGAATTGACTTCCATTATGAAAACGTAAACAAAGTCGACATTTTTGACATTAGACTTGAGAAAAAACAGATGTTTTCAGATTTCGATTGCTATCTTGGTGACCTTATTAATAGATCTTGGTTTTATTTGTTTATTTATACGACAATGTATTTTCTGTTGTTGTCTTGTGCGGTGTACACACTATCATTTTTGAATGGCACTCTTGCCCAAATTTTGCTTGTTTGATAGTGTGGCCTCACATGATTGTCATTCATCAGGCAACCACAAAAATATTTATGGTTGTTGGACAGTCAGTAATCGATAAAAAAGTTGACAGTCAAAAATGATAGTGTGTACACCGCTTTATTAAATGAAAGTCAGCTAAAAATGCAACATCACTGAACATTAAAGGGCTAAGCAAAATGCTCGCGTTGAACCATCAGTCGCGTTATATATATGGAAACGATATGCGCTTGAAGTCGATGTACGCTGCGCTTCGAAGTTAAATATATTTTAACTTTTTGCGTGCGTTGACGTGATAACAAAGAACGCTCAACGCAAACATTCTGCTTAGCCCTTTATTATTAGTTCATGGTCATGATCCAATTAACAGGTCGTGTTAGAGGAGACATGATTTCACCCGAACTGTCAAAATTTGACTTAATCTTGTGAAAACGTAAATAAGAAAATTGACAGTTTGAGGGATTATAGGGCTAAGCAGAATGCTCGCGTTGAGCCATCCGATAATATTCGCCTCTTAAGGGCTAAACAGAATGTTCGCGTTGAGCGTTTTTTGTTATCGCGTTAACGCACGCAAAAGTTAAAATATATTTAATTCCGAAGTGCAGCGCACAACAACTTCGAGCGTTTGTGTTATCGTTTCCTTGTGGTTGTTGTATTTTCGATAACACATAATGCAACGGATGGCTCAACGCGAGCATTCTGCTTAGCCCTTTACACGACCTGTTATGCCATGTACAGACGAGCGTTGTTCGCTCTCTCATTCGTTGTTCGACCCTAAATTATGAAGTAATTACTTAGTTCCCCATACAAAATTGTCTGAGCGAACACCGACTTTTGTACGTTGTTCAATTCCAATCACTCTCTGAATCACAAAGAATTTTGTCCCATCTCTAACAATTGAGAGAATTTATCGAAAAAAAATTAATTTTGACAACATGAAAAAAATTTAAAATTTTCAAACTTTTTCAGTAAAATTGAAAATGATGAATGAAAAGTAACCACAATTCTAGTTTTTATATATGCAGAAGGATGTAAATTTTGTTGTCTACATAATGCAATGTGTCTACATAATGCAATGTATTGAAACAACAATATTTTCAGAAAAAATGGAAAACATGAATTAAAAGTAAAGAGATAGGGGTTGATATTATAGTCAGGAGAAAGAGAATTATTTTTTCTATTTAGATCCATATGTGATTCACGCAAATATGTTACAAATTTGGTGTGAAACAAGAAACAAACGGTTTGAAATAAAAAAAAATCTGATGACATGAATTAAGAATAGTGTTGTATGAACGGGTTAATTCATATACGTAATTCTGAGAGCGAACTACGTTGTTCGAATGCCCGTCAGAACATGGCATTAATTGGATCATGGTTCATGGCCTTATCGGACGACTTTATTATGGGTCATGATGCAATAATAAGGTGATGTATCAAAACAAAAACATTTTTTTTGTCTCGATTATCTGTCAAATTTTTCCTTATAATATTTCAAAAATATGGCAGCATTGCACATCGAATTCAAAAAATTCGATTAATCGATTAGAAGAAAGTCGGCTTACGTGTCCCTATTCCGAACTCGATTGAAAACGTTTCCTCTGACCCTTCAAATGAGCTCCCAAACAGTTCGGAATCCCGTATCACAAATTATCCATAGTAAGGAAGATGTTGAAGATGAGGAACCAAAAAAGAAGTCACGGGAAGATTGGCGGAAAGCAAAGGAACTAGAAGAAGCGCGTAAGGCTGGTACTGCACCAGCTGCTGTCGATGAAGAAGGTCGCGATATCAATCCTCATATTCCGCAGTACATATCAAACGCTCCTTGGTATTATGGAGCGCAGGGTCCAACACTAAAACATCAACGACCTCAAAGAAATGAAGATAGAGGGGATTTAGAAAAACGAGCGCCGAAAGGAGTTGATACTTCCCGTCTGGTTACTAAATTCCGTAAGGGTGCATGTGAAAACTGTGGAGCCATGACGCACAAACGAAAAGATTGTTTAGAAAGACCAAGAAAAGTTTTAGCGAAATTTTCAGAGTCAATTGTAGTTCACGACGAATTTATTGTTAAGGATGAATCTGTAAATTACGATGAAAAGCGCGATCGTTGGAGCTCGTATGATCCCGCCTGCCACAGGGAAATTATAGAAGAGTACGAGAAGGTGGAGGAAACAAAGCGACAATTGAAAGCAGAAAAATTAAAGAATGGTATGCAGCCGAAACCTTAAAGGGACCCCCCCCCATTCTCGGGGTCAAAATTTTTGTTGATATAATTCGAATCTACACTGATTAAAGAATGCCCCTACAAAATTTCAAGTGAAAATCTCAAGAACTCTTGAAGATATATCCGATTTATTGTGTCAGCATCAAGTGACGGCTGAAGGGCTTCACAAACTTTAAACGCGCTTTTCTCTAAACATTTTTTTGCGAATGGCGGGCACGGTAACTCAAAAACTAATAATCCAATCGGTTCCAAATTTTGCAACGTTTCTCTGGGATTGTATAGCTCTCGTATGAACTAGGATTAAGCCAATCGGAATAAATATCTTCCTTATTTTTTAACTTGGTTTTTGGTAAAAAATCGGCGATTTTCCAAAAATATTTTTTCAAAGATCCACCATTTTGTAATTTTAGAGCGAAGTCAATAATCCTAGTTCATACGAGAGCCAGACATGTACTCTTTCTAACACCGTTGGAATTTTCGGATTCCGATGTTGCAATAAGGAGTTATCATGCCCGCTATAAAAAATAAGGACTTTTCTTCAATTGCAAAAAACAACAACAAAACAATAACAAAAAATTTTTGTAAACTATTTTCTCTTTTAAATTTTCAATTATATATGTGCAAAGTTACAAACCTTAACAAGCATTGATATTGATTTACCAGCCCATTGAAAATCTAGAAGAATTAAAATTGAGAAGGGGGGGGGTTCCCTTAAAGTTGCTCAAACATTAATTTTATGTTATCTTCTAGATCCCGACGCCGAGTTATCAGACGACAACAATGAAGACAAATATGTCGATGAAGTTGACATGCCCGGAACAAAAGTCGATTCAAAACAGCGCATTACAGTACGTAATTTACGTATTAGAGAAGATACAGCAAAATATTTAAGAAATTTGGACCCCAACAGTGCTTACTATGACCCTAAAACTAGATCTATGCGAGATAACCCAAATCCCAAAGTACCAGCTGAAGAGTAAGAACGTTGTAGATCTCAATTACAAATAGAAATAATGTTATTTTTTATTTTCAGGGCTGAATTCGCGGGTGAGAATTTTGTTAGATTTTCCGGCGACACAACTAAACACGCCACGGCTCAATTATTTGCATGGGAAGCACATGGTAAAGGCGTAGATGTGCATTTGCTAGCGGAGCCCACAAAATTGGAGCTACTACAAAAAGAATACGAGAAAAAGAAGGAACAATTTAAGTCTAGTGTATGTTTATTTTTTTCCAATATTATTTTCTCCTATTAATGGAGGGTATGTATGTTCTTACACTTTCTATTTACAGACTAAGGAACATATTGTTGAAAAATACGGTGGAGATGAACATTTGCAAGCGCCTCCAAAATCATTACTTTTGGCACAAACGGAAGAATATATTGAATATTCAAGAAGTGGTAAAGTTATTAAGGGCATGGAAAAGCCCAAAGCCCGTAGTATATATGAGGAAGATGTATTGATCAACAACCATACAACCATTTGGGGAAGTTATTACAATGGAGGTCACTGGGGCTACAAATGTTGTAAATCGTTTATAAAAAATTCTTATTGTGTTGGTATGAAGGACCCTGAAAAAATATCCGAAGCATCTGTCACGGTAGCATTAATAGAAAAAGTCGATGATTCAATCATTAGTCCGAAAATACCAAATGACAATGAAAAGGAGCAGTCGGAGAATTCGTCTTCGTCCAGTTCTAGTTCGTCGTCGGAAGATGAAGAAGAATTACAGAAGGCCGCAGAAGAAAACAAAAAAGTTAAAAAGAAAATGAAAAAGAGAGAGAAAAAGCGCATCAAAAAGATGCGAAAAATGGAAAAGAAGATAGCCAAGTCCAAAAAACGCAAGGAGGAATCGAAATCCCATGAAGTATTCAGAAAAGACAAAACCGAAATGGATGATGATAGAAAACGACCTTATAATAGCATGTACGATGTTAAAGCCCCTACAGAGGAGGAAATTGAAGAATGGCAAAGAAAGCGTAGAAGGGATGAAGACCCAATGTTGCAGTTTATGGAATAATAAATTGATAACGTTTGAAACACGAACAATGGTAAATGTTCTTGTTCAGTCATTCACATGGATATTTACCCTATAGATATTTAGGCTCGACATAAGACCTCATCAGGGGGTATTGTAATATAATAATGAAATCCATAATGTTTATTTTTTGTCGCATAGTCGCAAATACAAACGAGTAATCTATAACACGCGTGATGATTCTTTGACCTAGCTCAAATATTTCATACATTTATATTGTTTATTGTTTTATATTGTTTAAAGTTTAAGGTGAGGATGGAGACCCGGTCTGTGATCGTTTTGAAATGTTTACCATATATACGGTATATTTTTTCCGCCATTGCATTTTCTCATTATTTTTAAAATTCACTAAGGCAATATGGGTATCAATATAAAGGGGTTGAAGGCCCGGGGAGCAAATTATGACAGTCGATACCGAGTGAGCCAAGATCTATTAATAAGCCAAAGTGAGCTGTTTTTTGTCAAGTCTAATGACAAAAATGTGGACTCCTATCATGAATAATAGAGTAACTTCGGGTAATGTGGACCACTATTTTCTTTTTTTAATATTGTGGGCGTAACAACGGTTAAAAATAAAAACAAATTGTTTTCACAAGATAGTAGATTTGTTGGCTAACTATATTCCATGTCAAACATTATACATATTTGTCCATAAAAATGTTATTGCATTATGTTTCAAAAAACTTTAAGCTGCGAATAAAAATAACTTGGCGGGTAATGTGAACCAGTATGTGTGAGCAATGAGGATCACTATGTTAAAGTTAGGTTGTGAATTGTTTATGATAAATTTCAATTTATTGCACTCTTCGGTAACAATGAATGCAAATATATATGGATTCATGTTTTGGAATAGCCCCCATTTAAGGGTACCGCCCCATTTGCGGTATTTTGAAGGTCCTTGCTTCATTATCCAACCGGGGCACCTATAATTTCGCATATCGAGTTTTCAGAGGATAGAATACCTCCTCGCATATTAAATGAGCCCATGTTTCGAACTCGTCCTCTTGTAAAGGTCCCACTTTTTATAGTGGTCCACATTACCCGACATTGAATATTTTTATTTAAAAATAATTTTTGGCTTCAAAAAATAATAAAAAATTTAAAAAATCACCGATTGTAATTACAGCTAAACGTATGTTTTTGTTAAAGAAAACAATAAAACCACATAACTTCTTTATATTCGAAAAAACAAAGTGTTCGACTATTTTGCAAAAACGTTCGACTATTGTGCTAAAAAATGTCCGAATCACACGTTTACAATCAGAGCTATATTTTCTACTACTACATTTTCAACATTGCAATTATTTATTAAAAACCAAGTTTGATATTTGTTTTCAGTAATTAGGAAAACATTTATCAAGGCGGCATTTACATATTTCAAGCATTTTCTTAGATATGGGGGTGGTCCACATTAGATGCATGGTCCACATTACCCGAAGTTACTCTATATAATTATTTAAAAATATAATTTTCTAAATGTTTTTACAAAATAAGCAGCCGTTTTTCGTACGTGATAGGTTGAAAATTGCAACCGATTTTTGCACATTTTTCGATTTCTAATAGTGTCGTTTGTTGCAAAATCTAGTAAAGCGTGTTGATTTTATAAGTCTTCATAAACATTTCTTCGGAAAAAAATCAGTTTTTTGCCAAGTCCCGTCAGTTTTTAAAGTGAGTTCTAAAGCAGGGCTGTCCACACTAATACATTCAAGTTTTGTGATTGTATATGTTTCAAATACAAAATTTTCAAAAGTTCTGTTTCTATGTCATATACTGGGAGAAATTTTGTTAAAATATTATTTTCAAATTTTAAGGAAGAAAAAAAATTTAATATTTAATGCAAATAAGGTTGTTGATGATACATTTTCCCATATAAAGATATACTTGTTTCTGTTTTGCCCTTCCGGCATAATATTGCTCACATATTTCGACCTGTTCCGAACTAAGGTTTGCCAGAAATATCCAATTTTTTCGGTTAGTGTATAAAAACAAAAAGAAATGAATGACAATTTTGAAAATATTTTTTATTTTCAAAATTTTCTCTTTTATAATTGTATGTGTGAGCGATTTGACACACACCGACAGCCCATGGGACCTATTTTGGGCACAGCTGTTCTAAAGGAATCCGCAAGTTTGAGAGCGTTCATGATAACTACTACTCCTAAGTCTCTTTTTACACGGTCTTTTTGTACACGGTTTTGATATAACACGGTATGAAAATTGAATATTTTTAACTTTTTTAGACGATTTTATTCCATTTAGCACGATTTGATATTTTATGTACTTAAATTTTTTTGTCAAATTTAATTTATGAAAGAAAAAAGTCTGAAACCATCGATAGTTTGCGAACACTAGCTTAAAGATTTAAGTGAATTCCCCTTTAGCGCGTACAAATAATTTTTACTGGTCAAAGCAAATGTAAATAGCACTAATTTAGGGGAATTCCCTTTATGTATAAGATCAATGTCTTTTTTTACGCGGCTTCTTCTGGAACCAATCTACCGTGTAAAAACAGACTTTGGTGTATTATTTTCAGGATTGATTTTCTTGCGGATTTTTTTTTGTCCCTGATAGATGAAATGTGAAGAGAGAAAAATTCCTTACGAATTTGGTATTCATGATTGGGGTATAATTATTATAATTATTACTAAAAATATAATTATTTGTGTATGTGTTTATTGTTTTGAATTCCATGTCAAATAAATTCAAATTAAATTGAAATGCAAGGTGTATTTAATAAGGTCTAAGTGACAATCATATGGTTTCAAACTTTTTTCTTTATTGTTTATAAAGCAAAGGGGGACGGAAAGGAAACCTAGGATTAAATCAGTTATAACCCCGTTCGCCGATTGGTCCACATATTAATATATAAAATATGTGTGGAAATCTGTCCAGAAATCCCAGCTATTCATAAAATCGAGGAGATTATCAGCCTTATTCTGGATATTCGCTGGGAGATATCTCGTATGTACAAAAATTTTCGCTTTCACATTCTCGCCTTATTCTGAATGAATAGGGAGACCCAAGGTATATTTAATAAGGTAGTCGCACCGGCCCAGCTGTTGGTGCAAATAAATGTCAAAAAATTTGTTGTAATGTTGAACCAAAAAAAAATTAAAAAAACAAAATTATAAATGAAAATCTCCGAATTTCAAAGAGCTTGTTTGGCAAATTTTTTTTAGAACTTTCTAAAAGAATTTGTGTAAAAAATATCTTGTCAATCTGTTTGTTTTGACAACATATTTTTGACATATCAAAATACAACAACCGATGTTTGTTGTAGAAATTCGCGATGCGGCTACCTTGTATATCTACCTTGGGGAGACCCAAAAAAATGCGAGATGCGGATTCGAGTTTTCGAAAATGGTGGTTGAAAAAAAGATATAATTTAATATATAATTTATAATTTAATTGTAACTTAAATTAAGCCATTTTGTAATTTAAGTTGCAATGTGTGTTGCCCCATTGTATTTTAATTGTGTAATATTTTTCAATATGTTATTTATTGATTATTTTATTAAAAATTGTTACTTGTTATTGTTGTTTAAACTTTATAACAATAGAAATGTGAAATATCAAGAATTCGCTTTATAAATGCTTTGTAATTAAAAGAAAATTAATTAAAGTTTAAAAATATGGCAACATACAATATGACATGTGAAACAGCTGTTCATTGTTTTGATGCAATTTGGTACAACAACTACAATAGATTACAAATAAAAGAACATTTTTTATGATGGCAGAAACACAGGCACATAATTGTGTGCCTTTTAATTTAATTTCGATATTTTATCTCTCCAAATTCTTAAAGTGGCCTACTCCTTTATTTCTTCCTTCAAATAATGCAAACGATAATTTTGAAAATAAAATATTTTTTGTAGTTTTTTTTTGTGTTGTTTCATAATTTTTATTTAAGTTTTCACTGTTAAGCGGCTCATTATGCAAATTCGGTTTTTATATAATTTTTTTCTTGAGAGACAGATCCTCTCACCCAAAATGTCTGTTTTTCGCCTCCCAAATGCATCAAACTCGACTTAAATATTCATTATTACCTTTACACATTCTTTGGCAATATTTGGTTCAGCATGCATCATTATCAATAGGATTTCCAAAGGCATTTTATTTGCTGTTTTCCAGATAAATGTTTGCTTATTATCATTTATAATATTCTAAATCGTTAATATAAAAATATTTATAACTTATGTTTTTGTAGTCAACTCACTTTGAATTTATTAGCGAAAAATTTCGCACAAAATTTCATCTCATTCTCGTACTCCCTGTAATCCAGAATACCTATTTTTTCCCCAAAGCGGATTTTTTCGCTTTCGAACTTCATTCAGAATAAGGCGAAAGCGAGAATGCGAAAAAATTCACACAAAAATGTTGTTCAGAATAAGACGAAGGTGAAGAGCGAGTAAATTCACGTGGAATTGACATCCAGAATAAGGCTGTATGTTAGCCTATATTGAAATCGGCCGCTTGGTGCTTGTCACAATTCTCGGCGGAGGTTAAATACGCCTATGGAAAGATTTTATACGGTCAACACAATTTCCATGATTTAGTCTTTGGCCGGGGATTTATGTCCTTCAATTTTCTTTAAGAAGGCAAGATTTGAAGCCACTGCATAGAAAAAATAGTTTGTAATCCACAATATAAACAACATCACAAAGAGCCATGGGCTACATGTGGGAAACATAAAATTTATCGCGACCAGGTCTTAAACATTATTTTTCACTGACCTAAAACTGCCAATAACCCAAGAATACACAAATTCATTAATTATTCCTCAAAGAATAGTTCTTGACAAAAATAAATTAATAATTGTTTTTGTTTATTTTTGTTAAAAACTTATTGTCAGCATGACAATTTAATTTCTATAACAACAATGTTGTTTTTGTAAAATATTTGTTGTTGTATCTGATGCATACACCTTATTAAATACACCTTGTTGAAATGTATTCAAAGAAACAAAACATATGTCAAGT